AACATGGTTTATGCGTACAAGCAACGCGATGCCGGTATCGAGGCAGGGCACCTGGCGCTACGTTTACTCATGCATTTGTTACCCAGTGAATTGCAGGCTCAGGTTGACCATCCGATCGACGAGGCCTTCGACTTCGAAGCCGAGTTAGAAGTGTTCATACACCGTGCTCAGAGGCGAGAATTTGGCCCTAGCACGCAGTCGCTGGTCGATGCCGCGGTCGAGCGAAACATCCCCTGGTTACGTTTAAACGAATACAGCCTGGTGCAGTTTGGCCATGGCAAGTTTCAAACGCGTATTCAGGCTACGGTAACCAGCAATACCGGCACCATTGCGACCGGTCTGGCAAGCGATAAGGAAGGCACGCATAGTGTGCTCAAGGACATGGGTTTACCAGTACCGCTCCAGGCCATGTTCAGTAGTGAAGACGAAGCTGTCTCTGCTTCAAGGCGTATGGGTTATCCGGTGGTGATTAAACCGTTGGATGCCAATCATGGTCGAGGCATTAGCATCAATCTGACGACCGACGACGAAGTTCGAGAGGCCTTCCATGTTGCCAAAGCGCAGGGCCGTTCGCGTTACGTGCTCGCCGAAAGTTTTATCGTCGGTTATGACCATCGCATGCTGGTTATCGATGGTGAACTGATCGCGGTGGCCAAACGTGTACCCGGTCATGTCGTTGGTGATGACAAGTCGACTATCGCCGAACTGGTCGACATTGTAAATTCCGACCCGCGTCGCGGTGTCGGTCATGAGAAGGTTTTGACTCGAATAGAAATTGATTCACCGGCCATGCGCCTGTTGCTCGAAGCCGGCTACGACGAAAATACCGTACTGAAAAAAGATGAACGGTTTTTTCTGCGCTCCACCGCAAATCTCTCCACGGGTGGTACGGCTATCGATATGACCGATGTGGTGCATCCGGATAACCGTGAGATGGCTGTCCGCGCGGTACGCGCGATTGGTCTCGATATTGGTGGTGTGGACTTCCTCACCGATGACATTACGGTTTCATATAAAGATATCGGTGGTGCGATTGTTGAAGTCAACGCTGGTCCGGGCTTTCGTATGCACGTCGCGCCGAGTGAAGGTGAGCCTCGCGATGTTGCCGGCAAGGTGCTTGATATGCTCTACCCACCCGGTGCGCCAGGCCGTATTCCAGTGGCGGCAATTAC